ATTATTGTTTACACTTTCAAATAACTTATCATGAAATTTTCAAATGCTTTTTTCTCGAGGGGCAAATCACTCTTTGTAAAAATGTACATGTATTGCCGAATTCATATGATTTCCGCAATCATATGGCGATTTCTGGATGACTGCGGCGATTTCTGGTTGACAGCGGCGATTTCTGGATGACTGCGGTGATTTCCACATGACTTCCGACAGATTTCCCGTGACTGCGGTGATTTATGTATTGACTGCAACGATTTCCCTATTGATTGCGGCAATTTCCCTATTGATTGCGGCGATTAACGTATGGATTGCCAGTATTATTGCAAATTGCACGCATTCTGAAGGATTTCTACGATATTGTATGGATTACCAGTTGGTTTCCAGTAAAAGAGCATTAGCTAGGTGTTTCATCAGAAAAACTAAATTTTGTATAGCACATGTATGGGTGCTAAAAACAATGCATTGATTTAAAACTAAGTGAGTATCACAAATTTATCAATATATCAATAAATCAACTTTTTGTACGTTTTTTATTCATTCGGAAGATCAGTTTTAATTGATGTGATTCACGAAATATAAACTTCTATGTAGGTACTTATATGCCTCCATTATTGGATATCATTGATATGCCTAAATGAACAAATAGGTACAGGTACATAAAACAAGTTAAATAATTAAGTAATTGGAGGTTTTTTATTTAAAAATTTCATAAAAGTGTTTTTTTAGACGTTTACAAATTTTATCAATGTTTAACTTATCATTTGTTTCTAGTTTAAATGGACCAGATCCAATTAAATTGATGGGTCCGTAAAATATGAATTTATTTTTAACAATTTGAATGTCGTCTTTTTTTGGCCATAAATATTCTTCAAGTTCAGAATTTAAAAATTTTATTTTACTAGTGGTTTCATCAATTATTTGAACAATCCGACCTATGTACCACGACTCGTAAAGAACTGCGTAATATTGTTCGATCCTAATTAAAATGCCATTGATATTTTTCTGGAGCAAAGTATTTTCACCGGTAGTTTTTTCACTTTCTGTTACATCTTTGTCATTGTAGTTATTTGGTATTTTAGCTGTTTTTTTCTGGACTGGATTTTTTTTTTGTTATTTAGTACTGCTGAGGATGTAGCTTTTACACGAAGTAATCTGTCAGTTGACAAGCGCCCGTCTTTAGTGGAAAATAACCAACAAAGCTTATTTTTTTTACCTTCATTTTTTTGTTGTTCACAATTATGTTTAAAAATGAAGTATCAGAATCACTTTGTGTCGTAATTTCGAAAATCCTTTATATTAAGATCCTTCAATCCATAAAAAATGCTCATTTCATTATCTATATCATATATGGAAACTTAAGTTTAAAATTTAATGTTTTTTACTTTATCCGTTTTTAATTTTTCTTCAAAATTCGAAATTTACACATTTTCTTAAATATCTCGAATACGGTCCATTTTAGAGAAATTATGTATAGAACAAAAATTATACAGAATTATATTACAAACAACTTTTATTTGAACAATTTTTATAAAAAAAATATTTTTTTTACATTTTGTCAAATTTCTTGAATACGGATCATTTTAGGAAAATTTTGTATAGAACAAAAATTATAGATAATAATATTATAAGTAACTTTTATTTGAAGAATTTTCTTTTCCAAACGTAAATAACAGATATATTCTATAAAATATAAAAATGATGACCTATAAAGTACCCCCCAGATGTTCCGACTTTGTCCAAAATCTAATCATTTCACCTCAGGCCGAAATAAAAATTAAGTTTAAAATTTAATGTTTTTTCTTTTATCCGTTTTTGATTTTTCTTCAAAATACGAAATTTACATATTTTCTTGAATATCTCGAATACGGTCCATTTTAGAGAAATTATGTATAGGGCAAAAATTATAGAGAATTATATTACAAACAATTTTTATTTGAACAATTTTTATAAAAAAATAATTTTTTTACATTTTGTGAAATTTCTCGAATACGGACCATTTTAGGAAAATTTGGTATAAAATAAATTATATATAATAATATTGTAAGTAACTTTTATTTGAAGAATTTTCTCCTCCAAACGTAAATAACAGATATATTCCATAAAATATAAAAATGATGACCCCCAGATGTTCCGACTCTGCCCAAAATCTAATTAGTTAATTGGACGCCGGAATAAAGCTTAAGTTTAAAATTTGGTGTTTTTCTTTGTATCCGTTCATGAGTTATCGAGGATACAGACACACACAGACACGCACACACGCACACACGCACGCACGCACATACACACACACAGAGGCATACACACACACACGGACACCATCGCGAAAATAGTCAAAATGGATTCAGGAGACCCCAAAACCGTCGAAAATTCGAGGTCGAAAAAAATCATGATTCCTATACTTTCCTTATCTGTACACAGATAGGAAAGTAAAAATACATTTAAAACCCTAATTAAAACGTGTATCACCCCAACCCCCCATAAAATACCAACAATTTTGTTATACATTAAAAAAAAATTAGGACAATTTTCGACCACCTTGTAAAATCTTGTAGATTTATTGTCTAAATTTATATCCTAAAAAGACCTTCAAATTCCAAAATGTAAATTTAGGTTAATAGTTCTTATCTCAAAATGCACGAAAGGACCCTTTCGATAAATGTAAACTGCAATTTCTTTACACAAAATGGTTTAGATGGCTTAATCAAAGCATCCTAGCCAACAATGGCAATAGATTAATGTCACCTTACTGTGCGCGATTTTTAACGATTGCTAGTGATTGCTCAGTGACTGCGGGAGAATTCGGGGGACTGCAAGGGAATTCGGAACGACTGCGAGCGAATTCGGAACGACTGCGAGCGAACTCGGAACGACTGCGGCGATTTCTTAGCGATTGTCACTGATTTTGATGAGACTGCGGCGATTTTAAATGGGATTGCGGACATTTTGTACACGTATTGCGGAAGTGATTTGCCCCTCGTTTTTTCTTGAACATGGTGCGTCCTAGCGAGATGCAACAGAAGTAGCTTTATTATAAAGAAAACATTGGTTTTCCAAATTTTATAGTCAAAAATGTTAAAAACTGTCAACAAAAAAAAAACAGGGGAATTTTACCCTAAGCCCCCCTAATTTACCCACCTATAAAGATGATCAAAAACTGGGGGTTAGTCCATTAAATATAGCGTAAAAAGTAAGCATTTGTACCAAATTTCACTTAGTTAACTTTAAACGTTTAGAAAATATTTACAAAAGTGTGTAATTAGGGCTTCACTTTTAACACCCTGTATCTCGAAAAAGAAACGTTTTTAGACCTATGTTTATATAAACTTTTACTCCTATTTTAGGATGTAGATTATGCTGTTAAAATATGACCTAATTCAGGACACCCTGTATATAAACAAAAAAATGATTTTTTTAAAAATCCCTTTAGAACATAAGACAACACTAGAACTGCATCGAACATGTGCATTAAAGTACCAAAACCAAATAGTGAGTTTTTTAAAAACAGTGTAAATTATCTAAGGACAAAGTTCTATAAAGTTCTATAACGCTCTACCTCTTCATATAAAATTATTAAACAAATCTAAAAAATTCTGTAAAGTAAAGTAAAGCAAAATATATATTTTTCAAAATAATGCAAAATTTATCAAAATATTCCAAGAATAAAGGACTTAATACATGGATTTTTTTAAATAGATTTTTTTCTGTTTCTTGCATAAATTGTTCAAGTTTTATTTCCTTTATAATTCATTAAATATAATTAAAATAAAATTTTAATTTTTGTCAGCACATACAGGTGCTCTCACCTAGGTGCTTGTTATTATATAATTGGTTTCCATTATTGTACTTTATTGTAATTTATTTATTATTGTAACTCATTGTAACTTATAACTATTAAACTATTAATTTTCTTGTTGTGTTTGAATATCCACATCTGATGCATTTTTTACATCTGGAGCATTTGTTTATCCATATGGGACATCTGCATTTGTTTATCTGAGATGTAGCTGTCCAAATTACATTTTTTTTATCTCGATTTGAAATGAGATGTAGTAGTAGAGATTGTCAAACTTGTCATTTATTTTTGTTGGATTTTTTTTATACCAGGTTTAATATTTATGCTTACATAAATAAAGGTGATTGTTTAAGAAGGTTTAATTTTTGTTTAGTTTTCAAATTTAGGTCTTTTTTTCTATAATATCACCGACCATCAATAAGAATAAAGATATCTAGTTATTTCAATTCACAAAATAGTTTTAAATAATAATAAAAATTAAAGTTCATGAAAATAACACAAGACAATCTCTTTGTATTTGTATTATACTTAGATTTTACAAACATACAAACTCAAATAGTATAAAACTTTTAACTTATTGTCATTTTTACCAAGTGACTACTATGTCCACAGCATTTGTTTACTACATCTACATTTAAAACTAATTCTTTACATCTAATCTAATGCATCTGATGTAGATATTCAAATGCAGCATCTATATGTAATATTAACAGCTGCATTCAATGATTGTATGGTATTCTTGGGGTAGCAACATCGGCTTACTGAATGGTATGCTCAATTTGCAAAAATTAAATTTGTGTCAAATGACAATTCTAGTACAATGAAACATAGCATATGCAATTGAAAGTGAAGTTGTTTACTTCTCACTTAGAATTTCGATCAACAATCTACAAATCTACAATAATTTTTATACTTAGAGGTTTTTTTTATTATTTTTATAACTACATAATGCACAACGAAGTCTTTAAAGATATATTTTTCAAGCAATCACAAATAACGATAGATTTTAAGCATTTTTAGATTGTTTTGGGTTGTTATGAGTTTTACCTCTCAAATTTCCAGATCACAACAGAAACTATCACAAAAATGACATACTACAAAAGTAGAACAAAAGTGATTGGTATTGGTTGGATATCTCATTGAACACAGCTAATGTTTACATTAAATTCTTGCACTATATTACTATAGATAGCATTAAGAAACTACTTACATGTTTAAAGAAGATGATGGAATTTTAAATAATTGATTCATCTTTAAAGTAGGTAGAGCATCAATTTTTAAAACCCTTTTAGTTCCCGCTAATATAAAACTATTAATATTGAAATGTTCAGAGCAAATTCTCCTCTTCGCATTGAAGGGTATTGTATCTGATCTTCCTAAAATCTTCATCCAACTCTTATATTGTTTTTCAGGAATTCTAAGAAAAGATAAAGTTAAAGCTGGATTTATAAACTATGTTCAGTTCACGCTCAACATAAACAAAGCAGAATGACACGGTATATTTTGGATAAGAAATTATAACGGATTTATAATTATTTTATGACCAACACCATCTACAAATATAATTAAAAGAAGAAAAAAACAACAAAATATAATTTATTTTGTGGAATTTGTGGTTATATTTTGTCAACTCGAATTGAGCGCGAACTGAATGGTTTATAAATCCACCCTGAATATAAAACTGGACTCCTATAGAAATCTCTTCTTCATTATTTACTCCTTTTAAAAAACTTACAACTAAAATATTATGCTACTTACCTATGGAAAGAAACTCCGGAATTTTTAGTTTCGGTTCGATTACTGCAGCCTAGTATGTAGCACTTCATATTACTATAATAATTTCACTATTATTAAATTTAAGGGAACAATCTAGAATAATTTTTTGTACTTTTCATCGAACAACCGGCATTTTTAAAATTTTTAAAGCACCTATTAGACACGCCACAGAGTCAGACTCAAAATTGTAAAACGTAAATAAAACAATATGCAGTTGACAGGTGACAATTGACAAATTACAGATTTTAGCTGCGATCGGTGGGTTCGGTTATGATGATCGAATGTTCAGTTCACGACACTGAACCATAAACTGAACTCTAACTGTAACAGTAGGTGAGTTCGGGCTACGCACTCTTTTCACTATATTCACTCCTAAATTACCTAAGGCGTTCGGGTACGGAAGAAGTTAAAATAAAAGTTCCTCTTTGACCGTTCGGAGATCGTGGAGTGGAGTGTGGATCGGGCATGCGCATAAGGTGATTTAAATCGATAATAAGATAATTGTGACTAATTCTTAAGTAAAAATGCTTTTTATTTGATTCCAGTGCATACCATTAATATGGAAGAAACTTATACGGTTGTTACTGATAAGTACAGTTAGGTTTTAAGTATTAGTATATCACATTGACAACTGACATTGAACTCTGAGAGTACAAGGAGTAAAACCATATGCGCACTCCGTTTACGCCTACTTACTCCACTCCACTCTGGAGTGCGCAGCCCGAACTCACCTAGTATATGGTTCAGTGGTTCACGGTCTGTAATCTGTATATTTAACATAACTTAGGTTCGTATTTATATATAGAACTCAGCTGAGTCGGACTTGGGTAAGTCGTCCTTGAACTAAAACCGAAGTTCGGTTTTATCGCGTGAATTTAGAGATGGGTAGAAACAATTCGTAAATGTACACAGTTACAGGTTTGCTAATATCCATCTTTAAATCCCAGTGTAACACAGAAACTACCTAGAACTTGAGAGACGTTGTAAGTTGTAACCGAACTTCGATTTTAGTTCCAAGACGACTTACCTAAGTTCGACTCAGCTGAGTTTTGTTTATAAAAAAATACGGACCCTATTGCCGCGTTTGAGAATCCACATCGGCTGCATCTGAGATGTAAATCTATGATTACGTGGATCAGTATACGTAAATGTAATGGGACCACTGAACTATATATTAAACTGGAAGAACAAAGCTGATCAACAAAATCAAGCCGCATAGCGAGGTGATATTTGACACTTTGGCGCCCACATGTGCGTATCGAAATCAATGAACTGCGGAGTGGGTTAGAATGCTTGTCAATAGGATTGAGATGCGACCAATGAATTAGAGTGGGGTAGAAAGTCAATGTGCATATTGTATCAATAGAACAAGATGCGACTCTATGTGCGAAGCCATTTTTATTTTTCATCTCACTCGGGAGTATTTATAATAACCATTTTCTGTTTCACATTGTTATTATTCGATCCACAAGCTGGTGGATCAGACAATAACAGAGTGAAATAGAAAATGGTTGTTATAAATACTCCCAAGTGAGATGAAAAATAACCTGTATTCGCCTATAGAGTCGCATCTCAAACCTGTTGACAAGCATTCTACCCCACTCCAGTTCATTGGATGCGACTCTATGGGCGAAGACAGGTTATTTTTCATCTCACTCGGGAGTATTTATAACAAACATTTTCTATTTCACTTTGTTATTGTCTGATCCACCAGCTTGTGGATTGAACAATAACAATGTGAAACAGAAAATGGTTATTATAAATACTCTCGAGTGAGATAAGAAATAAAAATGGCTGCGCCCATAGAGTCGCATCTTGTTCTATTGATACAATATGCACATTGGCTTTCTAGCCCACTCCAGTTCATTGATCGAAATCAAAGTAAGTGGGGGTAGTAAGCCAATATGGAAATTGTATCAATAGAACAAGATCAAGTCAAGTCAATTTTTTTTTATTGTTGAATAATTAATTACATTCTTATTAACAAAGATAGATAACACAATAGTATTAAGGTCGATTCCACCGTTGTGTTAAACGAAGTTTAAAATGACATTTTTACATTAACGATGTCATTTTAATCTCCGTTTATCACAACGATGGAATCGGACCTAAAGCCTTGGTTTCTTTGAACACTCCGTCGCGGTGAGCGGACAGTCCGTCGGTCGCTGAGGACAGCAATTTTCGCCCAAGGTGGTTTGTTAAATTATACTTTCTCTATATGTCTGTACGTGCTGTTTATGTATTATGAATGTAAACGAAAGGTACTAAAATGCATGCAAATAAATTGTTTGCGTTGTTATTATTGTTGGAAGAGGAAGAACAAGAGGAACTGGCAATTGCAACCGTCAAAGTTTCCAATAAGCCAGTGGATGAGTTGTTTTTGTGTCGCGATACAGAAGGTGCCTTTAATATCACTGTGCAGCGGAGGCTTTTTGGAAATGAAACCAAATTTAGGGAGTATTTTAGACTTTCTACATATCTTTTTGAATTTGTGTTGAGTTTTATAAAGGACATAATTTCCAAGAAACCTAAAAATAAAGTCATGTCATCTGTACGTGTGAATTTGTCACTCATTGTATTAAAATTAATAACAATATAGTCTCCGCACACGCCGACGATTCCGCTGATATCAAACTCAACAGATATCAACCGACTCTTCGGGACAAATCAGCGGCATGATGCCGTCCTGCTCAGCTAAGCAGATTCAAAAAAACCATTTCCATTTAAATACTCTAGTTGGATAAAATCGTCAAAACGCGACGGTTGACGGACTGTCCGCTCACCGAGAGGAAGTGTTCAAAGAAACCAAGGCTTAATAAAGCTAAATACAAAAATTAAAAATTCAAATTTAAAGAAAAGAAACAAACACAAATATTTCATAAATGAAATTTTTTTAAAATTCTGATGTCAAGTCATAAAATATAATATAAAGAACAAAAATATATATGCACAACACCAAGTACAAAATGACAATTGACAAATATATAATATACATATAAATTAAAATGATCTATTCAATTCAACCGATCACAGAAAAATTCATCCAATTTGTAGTAGGCCTTTTCGAGCAAGAGTTTCTTAACTTGCTTTTTAAATATTGTTACGCAGGTTTTTGATATCGCAATTTATTTTAACTCAACTTTAGCAACAATTATACAACTGATAACATTAACATGTAAGGTCTATCATAAAACTAAAAACTGACGTTAGGATCATCCTTATATAGCTTGCTTGGCCCTTCTCAAACCTTCTCGAACTGTCGTCTAGAATATTCTTGAAGGGTAATGATATTTCCAGACATTTCTGGAATATTTCTACCTCCTTTTACTTGTACTTTTACTTATGACGACCGTACATACTGTAGGGCGATGAGTAACATTCCACTTCTTTTTCTATCTGTAGGGTGCTGCATAACATTGCTCCCGCCTATCTAGTTATTCGCCCCGAATGGCCTGATAGTGGTTGCCCGAAGACTAACTTTGTAGACGAACTGTCGTCTAGAATATTCTTGACGGGTAATGACATTTCTAGACATTTCTGGAATATTCTATCTTCTTTTAATTGTACTTTCACTTATGACGACCCCAGCATACTGTACGGCGATGAGTAATATTCCACTTCTTTTTCTATCTGTAGGCTACTGCAGGGTGCTGCGTAACAATATTTTTAATGAGTCAGCACATCTTATATTAATTGGCAGGTGATTAAATTTATTTTTCCCGCTATACACAATAGAGCCATATACCAAAGCAGAAGAGGGTATAGGCAAGGAAAGGTAAAAGATTTTTCGAGTATTGCTGAACAATAAAAATGGCTGCGCCCATAGAGTCGCACCTAGTTTTATGACAGTTCAACACGTTTAAGTGTCATTTAAAAACACCCTAAAAAACTCCGCTCCTATCCCGTTCCGGCCGTTCCAGACCCTTGCCAAACCGAACGTACTATTCAACTTACCGATCACGGCTAGCGGCTGTCTGTAAATTGTCATCTGTCAACTGCAGATTGTTTTATTTTTTATTTTACGTTTTGTAATTTCGCATTTTCAGTCTATCTTTATCTTATTATCTTTGTGATGTCTTTTAAAAACTTTAAAAAAGCCGGCTGTTCGATGAAAAGTACCAAAAATTAATTTAGATTGTTCACTTAAATTTAATAATTGTGAAAATATTATAATAGAAATGCTTCATACTAGGCTGCAGTAATCGAACCGAAATTAAAAATTCAGGACTCTTTTCCATAGGTAAGTAGCATACCATTTTAGTTGTAAGTTTATTAAACGTTTTATAAGAATATCAAAACGAGTAAGAATAAAACGATTTTTTCTATTCAAGTACCTACCATATGTCCCTGTATAAACCACCCACCTGGTACATAGGACAAACAAAGTTACTGTTAAAATTAAACTATTTATTGTTAAGTAAACATTAAACACATATTTTAACATAAAATAAAAATAAGTATTTTAATAAAAAAAAATCCAAATGTTTTATGGTTTAACAAATAATAAAATCTTGAAAGAAAATAAAATAAAACTATTCAATATTCATTGAATATTAAAGGAGGCAAAATCAAATTCAAATGAGAGTTGTTGGGCCATCGCTTGGTTCCTCCAGTTATGGTAGCCTCAGGTAATGTACAAACTATGTCAGCTTTATCTATTACATCTTCGTCAGTTTCTTCTGGAAACATAAATTTCAGATCTGATGTTTTTCTTAAGAAATTGACATGGTAGGATTCATCAGGGCCAATTTTATCAATTTGACCCATATATAACTTTTTTTAAGTTGGTATTGCACAATGACAAAATCTGCAATTTTTAATTGTGGCAATATTTCTTTTTCTAAATTGTCAAGGGAATCATTGTCTATTATTTTGTCCTCCAAATCACTTCAATGGTTTTTTCCTAATAGTCTGTAATTTTTGTTTCTTCTTCAGTTCTTTCAAGTTTTCTATTTTCTCTTCTTTTTTATGCATTTCCTCCACATTTTTTGTGGAAGTTAAAACAGTAGAGTGTTTTTTGTTCTTGTTTTTTTTTTTTGACTTCTGCTCTGGAGCTTTCAAATGCAGTCTTATCTCTTCTGGAGTAAAAATCTTTTGGCTTTTAGATTGTTCAGACAATGTTCTTAATGTTTTAGCTGGACCAGATATATTAGATATGTTAGATAAGTTAAATTAAGATTGTTTTATATATTATTCTTTCGTGAA